GGGGGTCTCTCGTCTCTCGTGGCCTAGAGGTTAAGGTGTTCGCCTCTCATTCAATAAATCCGGGGTTCGAATCCGGAGAGCGACGGAAAATTTTCTTCTAAAAAATGTTCTCCTTTCACATCCTTTCTTAGTCTCTCACAATGTTCTGTTATCTGCTTAGGTCTCCACTTTCTGCCCCCACCCCGTCACCTCCTTTGCTCCCTCCTCTGGGCTTCTGACTCTTTCTGCAGCCTTTCTATTGCTTCTTCTCGACTCCTTCTTACTGCTGTCTTTCAGCCACACCCCTAATCTTGTAGTGTGTAAGATCTAACCTAGCCTTCTCGGACAAGGGCGAAGAATCTCTGAGGTTCCTCGTGCAAGTAGCGCACGTTAAAGATTCCTCGGTGGTCCAAAAATCGATAAGAGTAGGCTTCGGCTGCCACCGCGGCAAAATTTAAAATATCCTACCTACTGAAAATGTTTGGTGTGTTCCGCGCGCTCATATTATGACCATATGCAATTGCGAGCGCCGTAAAACACTTACCAAAAATAATTAAATAAATAAAAATGCCCTGTGCTTTGAGCCTTTTATTTTCAATACAGCTGTTGTTTTGCCAGCTGTTTCAACGTGCTGATGCATTTTGTAACCTTCCCATCACACACACATACACTCTGGTTTTTGTACCTTTCACAGATGATGCATTTATACCCCCCCCCCCTTTTTTTTCCTTTCAAGAATCAATTTTTAAAAGCTAACAAAACAAAACGCAAAGACAAAGACACCCCCCCCCCCCTACAAGCTCACAGGAAAAGATTGCTGTATCCCAAACCACACCCACTTCCAGCTGTTTTCCTTGATGTAGCGTAATGTATGATTAATTATTGTTCTGACTATAAATTATTCGTAATAGAAACAAGGTGTTTACAGTGAGGACTGCACTTTACAACTACTCGGGCGTAGTGTGCATATTCTTCAAGCCGAAATATTTCTGACTTCTGAGATAGTGTACAAACTGGGTGAGCAACGTTACAGAACAAACTAACGACCAAATGTACGCTAAGGATTGATGGTTTATGTGTGTAGCAAGGGTGGGGGACACAGGTTGTGTGTTGGGGGGGGGTGTAATTAAGCACAGGAACTAACTTAGAGAACAGACACTGGTACCAACTGTACTCTGAAAAAAAAAACCACACACATACACACAGACACACATATACAC